CAAAACGCCCCCCCCCCCCCCCCCTTCAGTGAAGCAGTCCTTCCATGAGGCAGACCAGTGATCGGGCGGTTAGCGTGTCTGCCTCGCAGAGCTGAGATTTGGAGGTTCAGTTTTTGGCTCCGAACTTCCTGCGTTGAGATCATCTGTTTTGGGTTAGGGTTAGCATTTATGCTATGTGCTTTGAAGCCTCTAATTTGTCCCAAAGTGTGAATGTGAGTGTGAATGGTTGTTTGGCGACACCGTTTGCTTTCTGTGATTGACTGGCGTCCACGGCGTACACCGCCTCTCGCCCACAGTCGCCTGGGATAGAGCTCACGTGTCAACCGAATGAGGATCGATTTTATCGTAAATTGATATATGCTAGTCCTAACATATCCTTGTCCCTCTTGTTTTTAATGCCTGACCGAGAGTTTATATCAGTAATATTTCCCTCTCAGGCAAGGCGATACACATGGCGATCATCTGTTTGGAACCAAGAGGGAAATGACCTATTTTGAAATATTTCCAAGCGCTTCAGTCATCCAAAGGCGACTTGTTGGTTTTGTGCATAAATCAAACATCAGAAAACTTTCTGGACAGGCAACATTCTTGGAATCGCTGTGCAACAAAACTAAAATTGAGTGAAAACTACTCACCGTTTGATGGCAAGCAATGCACGATGACCCGGGCATGTATTGTGTAAGGAAGTGGAAATAGGGGTGGCGCACGAACGATTTTAACAATTCTCAATCCTTGCATGCCATTCGTATTAAATTTAACATGTTTGTAAATGTCATTTTTACACCCAGAAATTTGATAACTTCGGACCCACCATAAATCAACTAAACATGGCCGAAAGTGACTGAAGTGAAAAAAAAAATGACGGTCTTCGATTCGTTGCCGCACACAAAACAGTTCAGCACTGCGCGTCGATCAACACACTGACTGAAAATTTGTGACATTTTATCTGGTTTTAAGGCTCCACATGAAATATACTCGACTGTATTCTTTTTTTTTTACATTTTTTTTATTGAACCATAAAAACATGGCATGAAAGTAAAGGCCGCAAAGAAGCGGAAACGGACACGAGGATAAAGCTATTGGCGAGTGCGCCGTTCACTGTGGCTGCAACTCTTTATTTCAGAGATTCTGCGCTTTGCTTTATAGCCAACACACACTCACACACAAACCCACGTGTGTAAGTATAAGTATTTATGGGTTTCGCTCATGCGTAACCCTTTCATGCACCCTGTAACCTGATAACATGATAAGCTGTCCACTGTTGTAACCGCTGTCCCGGAAAGGGTTAAAACCCACAAAAGTATTTTGCGAGACACACTGTTGGTCTACGTTGCTTGGCATGCCGTGGGCCCGAAGTGCCGCAAAATACACAAAAACGCAAATATTTCAAAAATGTCATTCTCGTGTACAGGTGCAGTTAGTACAGACAGTTCTCGGAACTGTTTCAAGATCCCCTTTGAATACTGCTGCCACTGTGCTCTTAAAAAAAAAAAAAATGCATTTATGGCAAGCGCAATTTCAACCATTTTCTTTGAGGTAACACACACTGGTAAATGTAAAAT